TCTTTTAGTTGATAATTATTCCACAAAACTGCAGTCGACAAATATTAGAATGAAAAGACAAAACACAATGAACGAGATACAAAGAATATTCACCGCAATACACAGTTTGAAAGGGGGTTGGATAAAGCAGACGTTTGAGTTTGTTCCAATCCCTCTCACTCATACAACACAATACACACACACACACACACATTTGGCTCAGACAAGACACAGGCCAAAACAGTCTCTGACCCAACACTTCTCACGTCACCTGCTCTGTACTGATGCCGTCGCTCTCTTTTCTCTTCTTACCACTTTAGTACTTTTGTTTTAAGAGTTTTTTTTTCCATCACAGCAAAACAAATTGTGAGGTGATTGCATGTTTCTGCTTATGTCCGCGTGGGTTTTCTCCGGGCGCTCCGGTTCCTCCCTCCACCTTAAACGCGCATCATAGGTAAAATCCTCCAGTACTGTAGCCCTAAGCAAGACAGTTGAAGATGGGCCCCCGAGGATGGGTCAAATGCAAAACACACATTTCCCTGTGGGGACAGTAAGTGCATCTTAACTGTACCTTACATTCTTCATGGCTTTTGGGTCCACCCTATTTTCATATTCTTTAGTTTCTATCGGGTATTTATTATTATTTCCCCTCACGTAAAATAATGTGTCAGTACGTTTATATTCAACCATGAAATCTTAAAACAATGGCGAAAACCCACCGATAAATAATGATTTTCCGAGTTCCATTAATTAAAGCTGGTTGATGTTATTGTTGTGGTTCATAAGCTCTCGGTTTGTGTGAGATTCATTTGTTGTAAGTCTGAGCACATATTATATCAGTTTATCTTGAGCTTTAGTTTTTCTTTCTGTTTGAAAGGCTGCATGCTGCTGCAGGAAGCGAGAGAGAGCACAGCCAGAGCAAACTAAACACAAATCAAAACAGTGGAATCATAGCTGAGGGGGTCCGAGATGGGCTCATAACGTTCAACAGTCCATCCAACGATTGAATGAGAATAAGAGTAGTATCAACACGAGTGAACACACGCTGAAAGGACTGAATATTAGCAACGCAGCTGTTTATGTGGCGTGTTGCGTTCTAAATGCAAACCTGCTGTTGTTTTTTCCAAATGACCAGAATTGGGTTTTTATTTAACGGGAAATTGGCTTATCATGGGCAGTTGAACACAGGTGTTTGTGTACGACTTTTGTTTACTTGTTTAGCACCATTCTGGCAGATTAACTCATTGACTGCCATTGACGTATTTTGTCGGAGACACTCTTTTCGAACGGAGATTACAGGACAACAAAAATGGCTAGAAATAGAGGTGCACCGATAGATCGGGAGCCGATTATAATCGGCCGATCACGGCTTAATTTGCGTAATCGGTGATCGGTGAAATGTGCCGATCAAAAAGACCGATCAGATGACATGAGGATTCATGTGCACAAGTTACTTTCTCTCGTCAAAATTGCGTAAACAAGCAACTCATGCAGCTATCAGTTAGGAAGATTCTACAGCAGCAACAAACAATAATGACGGTAAGAAACAAAACTAAATATGCACGAAAGTTATGGAATGTATTTCCCTCTGCCCCCAGCCCTTGTCTATCGTGGAAAGTGCTGGGTTCAAACGACTCATGTTCACTGCTTCAATCTGCCATCGAGGAACTATATGACTGATGTGTGCCTACCGCAGCTTTACCAAACTGTATATTCTCACATTGACACTCCAAGCCCAGCCAGAGCATGGATCTACATAGTGCGAGTAGTTTTTTCACAATCTATTATAATAACGAGCCAGAGTCACACTGCGCAGACACCAAACACAGCAGCGAGACGCTGAACTAATCCCGTGTCGGGACTTTGCACGTTTTGTTTACAGACATGTTGGATTAAGATGAGTGTAGTGGTCGTACAGGCAGTCCTACAGTACGACAGTGTCGCAGATGCAGATAGCGAAACTATGTAGTTAGGCCTCGGAGCGGACAGCCACTTGTTTATTGAAAGGAAAATAAAAGGCAGATCCCTCCTTTGGCCAAAGCAGCGTAAGCTTTCCTCTGCGCTCCATTTACAATTGTAAATTCCTGATCGGTGCACCTCTAGCTAGAAACAAACTTATTTTTGGTGATGAAAATAGACAGTCCAGTCTTTCAGAATATGGTTTAATATTTCACATAGTCTAAGCAGATAATATTCTGTGGGTCTTGAGAATCAGTGAAATCATCAAAAACGGCTGGCAGTCGATGAGTTAACCACGGCAATGCAATCCAACAGGCTCTGATTTAAAATGTGCATGATGTCTTGTCTCATTACGATTAAGAGATTGTTTTTTTGTCCCACAGTGGGGGAAATGTCAATGTTGCATCACCGGTTACAGAACAGTCAGAATGAGGAGCACACGATACAAGATAATACAAGATGTATTTATTTGCCATTTGCAGTAAGTAAAACCACATTGGAAAAAGTCCCCAGTGTGGAAAAGTCAAGTACATAAATAAAAGAAGAATAAAAGTACATAAATAGAACAAACACAAAAGAAAACAATTGACTCTGTGAAATCCATCAACTAAAACAGTTTCAATACAAAGGAAAGATCATTTAAAGTGCCTTGATAAATGAACATTCATTTTCTACCCCTTTATTAGTCGGGGGGTGACAATTAGAGCTACACCCAATGCTCATAACACCAGTCCCTCTGGTGGGTCCACAGGGAGATGGCTGCTACATCAGTGGGGCCACAGCCTTGGTGTTTCAGCAGGAGCTTCAGGCAACGTGAGGCTAAGTGTCTTGCCCAAGGACACAATGACAGCAGACATTAGTGGGAGCAGTTGGAGAAGGTCCCGAGGTGGGTTTGAACCCACGACCTTCCAGCCTAAAGGCCAATGCTCTACTAACTGAGCTACTATCGCCCCAATAAAAAAACAATAAATGAATCAATTATAAGTGAACATTAATAACAAAAACATCTGTAGGATAGGAAGGAAGGAAGCATGTCTAAAATGTACAGCTTTCGCATTATGACAAAGCAAGAATTAAGTATAAAGTCTCTGACTTTAACATAATAAAAAGTAAGTATAAGATCTCTAACTTTAGCATAATTGTATTAATACAGTTATTACTTCTTTTGCTTTCAGTTGCAATTGTACTTATTCATGTATTAATTTTTGCGGTAATACAACCTGTATCTAACCTTACATGTGGGGATGTTTTATCTTTTTTTACTGGATGGTTACTGTAACAAAACTATTTTCCTATTTAGGTGATTTAAGTATTTGATTGACCTCAGAACATTTCCAGTTTACATTTTGGGATGAGAGTAACTTGGCTGTGCTGCTGTAGCAGCCCCCTCTGCTTCAGTTTTCTGGATGCAAAAGCTTGATGTACACCCAAAATCATAATTGTGAGAAAGAGAGATGTGCCAACAGGTTTGTTAGTGCTGTAGGAGATAATGCTGCAGCACAGTTTATTATTGTAATGCTTTTTAGAAATGTAGTTCACAAGTTTACATACCCAAGATGTATGATTTCTGAAAATATATATATTTTTCTCACTCATAGTTGGTTGGGTGAAGCTATTTAGTTTTTTTAATGCATTACACAAAATAACACATTTCTATCTCGATGGGATAGAAATGTGTTTTTCACATTCTCACTTGAAATATTTGCTTGTTCCATTGTAAATCATGTTTAAAAATTTCAAACATTTACTGGAATCAAGATAATAAATGAATGTATCCAAGCTTTTACTAGTGTGTATTTGTCCATTTATTGCAGTGTGACATACATCCATATCTTTGCTCCAATAAAGCTGTGGCCTCGGTGTCTTTGATGCACTAAGACAATAGAAATGTTCTCCATCTGCTGGTCGTTTGCAGAACTGCACCAAGTAAATGAACAGGAGGAATATGATACATTGGTGATGTTTCCATGACAATTCCAGTTGTCATAGTCATGGTTGCCCGTAGCAACGGTTGCCACAAACACGGAGTCCATGGCAACAGTTACCATGGTAACCGTTGCAAGGGCAATAGTCACTATGGAAACCATTGCTATGGCAACCGTTGCTATGGCAAAAGTTATCATGGCAACCGTTGCTATGGCAATAGTTACCATGGCCACCTTTTTTGGGAGTGTGAATCCAGTTGTCATAGTTATGGTTGCCAGGGTAGTTGCCACAGTGATTGTCATAGCAATTGTTTCCATGATAATGGTTGGTATGGCAATAGTCACCATTGCAACCATTGCTATGGCAATAGTGACCATGGCAACCGTTGCGATGGCAATGCTCACCATGGCAACCGTTGCTATGCCAATAGTTACCATGGTAAACGTTGCTATGGGTATAGCTACCATGGCAACCCTTTTTGGGAGTGTTTTTCCATTTGTCATAGTTATGGTTGCCAGGGTAGTTGCTATGGCAACAGTTGCTATGACAAGCACTGTGGCAACTACCCTGGCCAATGTTGCTATGGCAATTGTCACCATGAAAACCGTTTCTATGGAAAAAGTCAACATGGCCACGTTTTTTGGGAGTTTGTTTCTAGTTGCCATAGTTACGCTTGCCAGGGTAGTGCCAAAGTGATTGCCATAGCAACAGTTGCCTTGATAATGGTTGCCATGGCAATTGTTGCTATAGCAATAATTACCATGGAAACTGTTGCTATGGCAATAGGCATCATGCCAACTGTTGCTATGGCAATAGGCATCATGCCAACTGTTGCTATGGTAGAAATCACCATGGCAACATTTTTTGGGAGTGTGTTTCCAGTTGCCATGATGATGGTTGCCAGGGTAGTTGCCATTGTGATTGCCATGGCTAATCAACTTAGTGGACCACTCGCCAATGTAGTTGGGGATCCTGAATTGGCATACAAAAGAAGCAAATATAAGAAAGCAAGTCTAAAATCTCCAACTTTAGTTGAAGATTTGGTGTAGAACCACTGCAGACCATGATGGGATGAAAACTTATGAGCGCTTATGAGGCTGTGCTTTGACCCTTTTCCCTTCCTGTGCTGTTTGCAGGTTTGGCGATGGCTACACTCTGATTGTGCGCGCTCCAGCTTTGAGGCCTGTGGAGGACTTTGTTTCTCAGACCTTTAGTGGCAGCGTCCTTAAGGAGAAGCACCACAACACTCTGCAGTACCAGATCCCACACTCCCCTGGGGCTCTTGCCAACATCTTCAGCCAGCTCAGCGCACACCAACTCGGGCTGGCCATCGAAGACTACTCCGTGTCCCAGACCACGCTGGACCAGGTGAGAGCCAAATCACCACACGTTTAGACCAGAGCTGGGGGACTCATTATCTCCACACTGGACTCATTTAAGTTGGTGAATGACAGAAATGCAAATGTAGTGTTTCCCGTCGTGTTACAATAGTTAAGCTGCTCATGTCCATAAAAATAATAATTCTACATTGTTTCAAAGGTTGTGCAATGTGCTAAAGTAACTAACATTGCAAACATGTGTGATATATGTCTGCTATGTACAGTACATGTACAGTATGTCACTAGGATTATTTAGTTCAGGGTGTTAAAGCATTTTGAGTAGCTATGATATTCAGAGATAATAACCAAGTCATAGTTAGTTATTGACCAAGTCAATAACTGAGCTACTGTCTGGGGCGACAGTATTGGCCTTTGGGCCTGAAGGTTGTGGGTTCAAGCCCACCATAAGACCTACTTCACAACTCCCACTGATGACTACTGCCGTTGTGTCCTTGGGCAAGACACTTAACCCCACTTTGCCTAAAGCCCCCACTGAAAGATCTCAGCTCCTGTGGACTCACCACCTGCAGGAGGATCAGTGAGGGGCTGGTGCTCTGTGTCCTGGGTGCAGCTCTGACTGCAACCCCCCCGACCCAGAAATGGATTAAGGGGAAGAAAATGGATGGATGGAATAACCAAGTCAAGTATACTGTTTCATAATTAAAAGCACATTCACCTTTTCCAAAAGTGAAGTTAAATATAAATATTTTGAATAATTTTTTCATCAAACTTCAGAAATAGTTTGAACAAATTGAATGAAAAATGTATTATTGCAAGCATGCAATAATAGCAACATTTGTGGACCTATTCATAACAAACCGTTTAAATCTAGATATGCCTGGACAGATGTCTAGACTATTGTTGACACTTTACATTTGATAATGATCCTTAGGTATCATAAATGAGAGGTATAAAAATATAGCTATGTGTACTATAATATTTACTTTTTAGGATATTGGAAGATGAATTCTCTCATTTCAATCTTGACTATCTTAGTGCAGTGGTGAGTGCATCTCCCTCGGCATCTCCCGCCTGAGATCGGTACCTGCTGCACGAGGCCAGGTGCTGTGGTCAGACGGTGGTCAGGGAGATAAACCAGACTCTGAGGCCCCGTCCCAATACTCGCACTTCCACCCTTGCGCCCCTCATTTGCGCGTTCCCGATAAAGGGTGCGAGTGCGTAGGGTGTCCCAATTCTCCAAGGAGGTCTTTGGCCCCGCCCCCTTTGCGCCCCTGATCCACACTTTGCCGTAGCCTGCATCTATGCGCACTCTGGCGAAGGATATTGCCCATAATTCTTTGCGGTACACACCAAAACGTCGGGAAAATGCATTTAAATATACATTTTGAAATATATATGCAGTATGTGTGTAAATAAGTTTTGCTATGTTACTTGGAAAGAAGCATAAACGTATGATGAAGAATTACGGACATTGTGTTTTAACAATTTAATAACTTTTTAAAACAAGCGTTTATATAACATTCAATTTAAACTTTACACTTAGTACAATAATCTTAGAATGTATACAAACTGACCAGATAGTTAGTTACCCACATTTAACTTAAAATTATACAGCTATCTCTAATTAAAAACAACTAATATACATGTATTTTAACTGGTGTGAAGCAATTCATTTTGTTTCCCAAAGGGTCAGACAAGATTACCTTTTAATTTTTATAAAGTTTAGGTCTGAAAATGACCATCTCTTGACGAGTCGATGACGTAATCTGCACTCAGTGTGCACTGTCCCAATTCTGCCTTTTTTGCACACTTGTAACCTGCGCACTCCAACCCTGGTGTGCACTTCGAACAAATGCACACTTCGTAGAGGTGTGTAGGGTGCAGTGTGAGTATTGGGACTGGGCCTGAGTTTTCCACATGGCCCTGGGGACTTGATGTAATCACACTCTTACACATGAGAGCGTGCTCTGCCAGACGCCTGTTAGCTCAACGTTAGCCGAGCCACGAACCAGCGGCAGCCTCCAGACAGCCCAGAGCACTCACCCCTGCCGTTATTAGGCTGAGAGATATAAATTAGATTCAGATTAAAGCTGGGGTACATAATTTTCACCACCGTGTGATGGATCTAGGTTCCCCTGTTTTATCTAACTTTTTTCCCATAAATATTGCATTTTGTTTGTTCCAATGTAAATAGTCTTGTAAGTAACATTTTGTGAAACCAGTCCATGTTTGCTCAATAACAAACAAACCCCAATGAAATGATAACGTCATTGGTGAAAGTAATTATAATCAGACATTAACATAATCACTAAGATGTATACCATAACCTTTTTCAGCCTAACCCCAACCCCTGGCTAAAACCGCACAAATTAAAGCTGCAGAAAGCAAACCAATTCTCATCAAAGTGTATCATATAGAAAATCATAGAAGCACGATCATTTGATCTAATCTCCTCACATTGTTTTCTTTTCACATTAGATGACAATGGATCATTTCCAAAGGCACACCCAGCAGAGTCTAAGGCGTTTGTCGTAATCGACAACTCCCAGGTGCAGATCGTAGAGGAGTGCAAGTTTCTGGGTCTAACTCTGTCTAACCTGAAATGGGTTAAAAACACTGACCGAGTCGTTAAGAAAGCTCGTCAGCGTCTCTACTTTCTGCGGAAACTTAGAGAATTTACCACTAACTCTAAGATTGTACTTAACTTTTATGGCTGCACCATTGAGAGTTTACTTGTTGGTTCTGTGTCTGTGTGGTTTGGAAACATCACAGATAAAGAAAAGAGAGCTTTAAACAAGGTGCTCCGCTCTGCAAAGAGGACCGTGGGCTGTGAGCTTCCTGTTCTGGAGGTTCTTTATAAATCCAGACTTTTAAACAAAGCTCTTAGGATTGTCAATGACTCTTCTGGCCACCCTGGGAAAGCCATGTTCCAGCTTCTTCCCTCTGGCAGAAGATATCGCTCTCTGAGATGCAGGACATCTCGTTACGCTAACAGTTTTTATCCACAGGCTGTTATCAGTGTGAACAGAGCACTTTAATGATTTGCACTTGTTTTGAAACTGTTTTAGTCGATCCATTTCACAGTGACATTTGTTTACTGTTTTATTTGTTTTATTTTTGTCTTTTAATGTTGTTTTATGTCTGTATTTGTCTGTGCACACTGGAGACTTTTGCTAATGTATTCCTATGTGGTGTTTTTACTGCAAATGGCAAATAAACTGAATCTGAATCTGAATCATGGCACAGTGGTTGAAAAACACTGTCATAACATATGTATACGTCGAAGACTGTGAATAGATGGACAGTTCTAACCCACTGGCTTAAAGAAGCTCAAGAGGGAAATGTAGATGGACAAAGTGTTGCTCCAACTCGCTCTGGCTTCTGTCGACTTCCATTGAAAAGTAAAGTCCTCAGTAACCGGTTGTGTCATTCTCCACATTTTGGGCTTTGAAAATCCAAGGTTAGTCTCTCCCTGTGGTCCTGGTGTGGTCCTGGTGTTTAATGACTGACCAATCAGACGTTGTCACTCCAGGGGTTATCTCAGTGTAACTTAGCAACCATCTCAGCTACACATACGATTGCATCCCCCATCACCACATTGAACAAGGAGGTGTTATTTTATTTAAAAACCAAAACAAATTACTTATTATTTTTGCATCCAAAACAGGGAGTAAAAATATAAAATAAATACAGAATTACAGAATTAAAATGAATCTTTAAAGTTTACAAATACATGGCTGCGTAGGTCTCATTAAAAGTGTTTGGAGGTTTTAAGTTTGTGCTAATGCCGCGCAGACTATCGCTAATCCTCTAAATTGTGCCCCTGTTGTGCAGCGTTAGCAGCCTGTGTACAAATCCTACTAATGGTGGTTCAGCCGATACTTTCCTCGTGCTCTAACGGAAGCCTCTGCAGCTCCGAATCCCAGCTCTGTGAATATGATGAGCAAAAAAACAAGCGCATCAGTGAGCATCAGCCCAATAGCGGCCAAAGTCACACACCGAGGAACACTGCATAATTTCTCTCTCGTTTTCGTACAGCACAAGTTTGATACGATGTTATTTGTCCACTATATCCTGCACCTTGTCTCCCAGCCCTCCCTGCACATTAACACTCGACCCAGAGCTTTGGGAAACGGCCTGCCTCCTCTGTGATAACCTCCGCAACCCACTGGCCTGTGTCAATGATTGTTTTCTTCCTCTGCAAGTTTTGGATCAGAAGTCTTGGCCGTCACATTCCGAGAAACTTCAGCATTTAGGATTTGGCTCGTGGTACAGAGCCCTTTTATGTTTTAAATTGTGCTTTGGTTGGTTTTGTATTTGAGGGGAAACAACAAGTTGATGCTGATCCAGGACAATCCACATTCAACAACATTTATGGACTTTTAGCAATATTTATGGACATTGGTCATCTGCCCCTCATGGACCAATGGCTCTGCATGTTTTTTATGATTGCATTTTTTGGGTTTCAACTGTTTGATTCTCTGATTTGTGCTGGCAAGTTCAACGGTTTTGATATGTCCTCAGAGATACTACTGTTGTGGTTTAGGGATACATTGAATTAAATTGAATTATTCATAAAAACCAGAGCAAGGTTATGAATGTACTATTATTATTATTGTTATTAATTTCCCTTTATTTTCTCATTTTCAACAACAATACAGTAAGTACCAGTAATATCTTCCATGAAAACAGGGAGTAGGAGGAAGAAATCATAATTGATGTAATCATCTTCTCCTAAAAAGTGAATTCTTATAAACTCCGACTCCCTCCTGTGGACTCACCCTCTGCAGGAGAGTCAGTGAGGGGCTGGTGCTCTGTGGATTGGGTACAGCTCTGACTGCCACCCCCCGGACCCAGAAATAGATTAAGGGGAAGAAAATGGATGGATGGCTGAGACTCCTACTCCATTCTTATATAAAGAAAAATACAAAAAAATATCACAAAGTCAAAATGTTATGGTTTGAAGATTAGGTACCCCAGCTTTAATGAAATGATTAAGTGCAACAGCTGTTTTGGGACTTTTTTCTTTTTCATTTCATTTACATCCCTTTATTTTCCATTTCTGGGTCAGGGGGGTGGCAATCAGAACTGCCACCCAATTCACATAGCACCAGTCCCTCGCTGCTCTTCCTGCAGGTGGTGGGTCCACGGGAAGATGGCTGCTCCTTCGACACAGATGCAGCCTTGGTCTTTTAGCGGGGACTTCAGGCACATTGGGGTTAAGTGTCTTGCCCAGGGACACAACGATAGCAGACATCAGTGGGAGCAGTTGACATGGGTCGTAGTGGGATCGAACCCACGACCATTAGGTCCAAAGACCATTGCTCTACCAACTGAGCTACTGTCGCCCCTGTTTTGGCACTTGGGTATCAATATTATACAGTTCGGACATTTCCTCTCGTATCAGTGATCCCATGTTCTGATGTGGGCCAACAGTGACTGGCCGCATGTGCCCATCTATAAAACGGTTTCGCCGACGTTCCCTCCAGCATGTGTTTGGAGACGGCTTGGACCAGGCGCACTGTAGCCGTGTCAAGTGTCAAGCCGGCGCCTGATGAGAGAGTATACGTATCGGTGAGAGCTTAAGGTTTAGCCGTGTGTGTGGATAGCTGACAAATTGCTATCCACAGCGCGTATGTCTGGGCGTAGAAAATGGATCACTAGATGTTTGGGCGGCCGCTCAAAGTGCGTGACATCCTGTCTGATCCATCCTGATGTTTTACGGCTGTGGTCTGTGTACAGCTTCTTACTCCAGGCTCCTGTGGGCGGCGAGAACTCCTCTTTTTCTCTTTTACCTTCCTGTCTCGGCCCTGATGTGGTGGCCTGAGCACTGGCCTCGAGGAAATGAAGTTTAATCAATATGTTTGACTGGTGGAATGTTCTAACACTCACTGTGACTGACGGACAATGTGGAACTGAACTGACCAAACTTGACACATGATTTTTACCTTCGAACAAAACATTTCAATCATTTACGAGTTCTGAACCTGTGTTGCTTTTAGAGCAAGGTTGTTCCGATTGATTAGGATGGTCTTGAAATCAACTTGGGTTTAGGGTTGTAACTGTATCTGTGTTCAGAAATACAGAAATATGTGGCGCACTATAGTGGCTCATGACATGTGGCTCTTACCTGGTCACAAAATGTATTGTACTGAAAACTTCACAAAACTTCACCTTTGACGATGAGAGGGGAGGAATATATTTGACTTAAAATGCATGAATCCCAAGATAAATGTCCTGTACGTCGAGCCATACTCGTAAGTAACTTAACATGTATTGGAAGTAAGTAATATTTATTTATACAGCGCCTTTCACAGACCAGTCACAAAGCACTTTACAACTGTTACATTTGTCTCTCTTTCCACACAGAGACTGGAGTGGGAGGCGCATGCCAGGCCTATTGTACATTTTTTTAGTAAAAGGAGAAAGCGGAACACCCGGAGGAAACTTACGCAGGCCAGGAGAGAACATTCAAACTCTGCATAGAAAGGCCAGGAAGTGGAATCGAACCCAGGAACCTTCTTGCTGTGAAGCTTTAACTACTGCGCCACCGTGACCCCCAACCTGACCAACTTATGGGTCATGAGATGTCACTATAGAGTAGATGCACTGTAAAAATACATACTTTTGATACAATAAGAATCACAAGTTTAGCCCTATACTAAGGAACTTTACGAGCAAGACAATAACGTTTCCGTGGCAACAACGTTTCCGTGGCAACAACAGGTACCTCTCTAACCTCTCAGTTAGACCTCCACGGGTAACTTTTAACCAAAGGACAAGTCGCCCCATCTGTGCTCAATATTTACCAAATCCAGGCTGTAAATAAATCATGTGCGGTGCGTCTGGACATCGTATTAAAATCCAGAGAGCGTCATGAAAAACCTGTGAAGACCGGAGCGTCACCTCTCCGCCTGTGATTTATAGAGAAGAAGCTTGACCTATGGTACGCCGGCCGACCCGCTCCACGATTACTATTGATCCACAGCAGGCCCGAGCTGATGGTGCCGACAAGAGCAAAACAGGCTAAAACACAGACAGAAAACGACTTGGTCCAGAGACAGAGTTATAGTTATTACTTCGACAACACGCTGACTGAATTTACCAGGACTTCAGGCAGTAGTGAAACCAACCTGTGCTTACATGTGGGTCAGGGGAAGAGGGTTATAATTCCCACAACAGGTCAATAAGTGAGTAAGTAATATTTTTTTATAAAGCGCTTTCACAGACCAGAGTCACGAAGCGCTTAATGACAGTAACAAGAACAAGAGTGAAGCTCATACCAGCCATGTTTGAGGATTTTGCACTGCTCTTTCCTTCCTAAAGTTGTTCTTGTAAAAAAATAAATAAGTACAGTATATATTCCTCCATGTGAATTATAAGCTTGTCGTGGTCCTCGTAATGCGATTCCTCAAGTCCTGTAACTTTAGAAAATTGATTTTGAAAGTTGAAGATTGTTTTGACCATTTTATTTTGAAAGCCTGTCTTATTTGTTGTGGAAGACTAATATGGGTGCAAACAACACGCCAACCTTTCCCACTGTCGTTCCATGTCAGCATTTCAAGAGTTTCAAAACACAGAGCTTGAACATTTACTGGTCATATACTTTCTCCAATATCCAGTCTAAGCTTAACTACATGTATGTGTGTGTGTATAAAACATCTCAAAGGTGGATTAAAGGAGGATTTCCACAAAATTTCGGACAGAACCGCTCCACTTTTTTGGAAAACACTCTCTGGTCTTGTTTGACGAGCACGTATCACCAGAATGATTGACAAGTGGGAAGACCAATAGTCTTGATGATCCCGGAAGTAGAAAATCCTCTTATACTGTACCTTTAATAAGCGAATAAGAATTGTTTGTGGCGTTCCGCAATAAATATAGATTTGTTTACAAAATTCTTGCAGTGGCTCAGTTGGTAGAGCATTGGCCTTTGAGCCTGCAGGTCGTGGTTTTGAGCCCACCATGAGACCTTCTCCACCGACTCCCACTGATGTCTGCTGTCGTTGTGTCCTTGGGCAAGACACTTAACCCCACTTTGCCTGAAGCCCCCACTGAAAGATCAAGGCTATGCTCACACTGACAGAGCAGCCGTCCTCCTGTGGACTCACCACCTGCAGAGGATCAGTGAGGGGCTGGTGCTATGAGACTTGGGTGGCATCACTGATTGCCACCCCCCGACTCAGAAATGGATTAAAGGGAAGAAAATGGATGGATGTTATCGATTGCATTGTGACAGCCAGGAACTAGTTTATAGTATTTCATTACTTAAAGTTAAGTACTCCAGCTTTGAAATAACCGATTTTAAAACTGGATTAATGAACTATAATATTGTGAGTTGTGTTTATTTGATGCCTGTGTTCAATGTATGTGGAAGTTTATGATCAAGGGATAATAAAGGTCCATTTTCTATTGTTTTGAAAAAACGATTCAATATTGTTACATTGTTACGAGTCTTATAAGCGTTGAAACAAAGCACCAAAACCATATTTTACATACGATACAGAAATCCCCATTTTGATACAACATACTTCTTTCTTTCTGTTTTCTCGCAGGTTTTTGTGAACTTTGCCAAAAACCAACACGAAGACGCAGCTTATGACAACGACGTGGACATAAGTGATGAGTTTCCTCTGGAGGCGGTGAACACAAACGGCACCATCAAAACTCACGACTAGTCTCAAAACACCAGGTTTTTATGAACCATGTGACATCACACGCACTAATCACTGCTGCTGTCTCTGTCTTTACCAAAGATATAGACAGAATGACTGTTTAGATTTTCACTACTGAGACAATAACTGCACTTTTTATATGTGAATGCAGTTTATATTTAGTGCTGTCAAACTATTAGAATACGTGATCGTGATTAATCGCATTGATGTCATAGTTAACGTTTTTAATCATTGATTAATCAGTAAATCACATATTCGTCCTTGTTCTAAATGTGCCATGATTTGGTTCCAAAAGGGATTGGGTGAAAGTCAAATCTTTATCAATCAAATCCACTCCACAAAGAAAGTATTTGGGGTCTCCAGTAGCTCGCCACCCCCATCCAGGTAGCTCGCCTAAGGATATAGAAATGAACAAATCAAATACACTTAATATTTCAGATTGTATTAGTCATTATTGTTATTTATTATAGTAAATGCAACAAACATCAGACTCGTTCACACCGATATGGCACCATTTTTTCCCCCAGAGCGTTTAAAGGAGTAGCTCTCTGCCTTTATCGTCCCGGGAAAGTAGCTCTCTGGGTGAAAACGGTTGGAGACGCCTGGTTTACAAACATAGGAGAAATAACTTTGGCGGCTTTTTTGTTTATGTTTTCATTAAAGGCACGCGGCGGGTGACACAGCGCTGATTTCAGGTGTGTGCCCGTGGTAGAAGCCTGGAGCACAACCCAACTTGCAGCTGTACGGCCAGACGCTCGTCGACCCAAAATTTGACCCATATATTTTTGCCGCGCTTTCAGCCTTTACACATACCACTGTATTCATCAATTTTAAAAAATTACCACAAGAAAATTGGGTTGCCATTTTTAATTCAATTTTAACGCCGTTTTTAACACGTTTAACCGACAGCACTAATTATAACAGATTTTTTAAGGCACGTTTACATTCGAAGATGACAAGAAAGATGTCAAGACAGAAATGAATGTGTAATCTTAAGTTAAATTCAATACAGTTTATTTTAGATTCGGCCAAGAAACAGGAGTTGTCACGAAAGGGCTTCTCAGAATTGTTGAAATTCAAACCATTAGAAAGAAATACAGCAATAAAACACCTAACACTCATTGGTCCATACGGGTTAACCAAGTATAACATTTCTAAAATAAGTCATTATTCTGCCCATAGTCTGCTTTAAAGGGGACATAACATGCATCAACCTCTCACAGTTTTTAGCCGTATCAGTAATATATAGTCAACTTAGAGATTTTAAATGCACTGAATATGTAATACTCATGCTGCTGTTGATGATCATACAGCAGACAATAAGCACATTTTGTCCTCTTTAAAAAATCTGTCAAAAATAAACACCTTTTGTAAAGTGCCCAAAAAGCGCTATATATATATAAGTTTGACGTTTTGTTATTCCATTGAACCGATTACTGTCACTCAAATGTTGTAAAGTTTATTTGAATACTTTGTTTTTGGTATAACTCTGTACTTTTGCACTGTTCCATCTTAGTTTACATGCTGCTAATGTAAATATCTCTAATGCACAAAGACACAGCCAATATATCTTTCTGATTACATGTTGATGGTTTGTATCATGAGATTAATTAAACACGTTTGAACATATTTGTTGCGGTATATTTCATTATTATTTGTTATTATTTAAGGACAAGACAAATCAGGACAATACTGCCGTCTTTCTGTGTTTAACGTTCAACTCTAATCTTGTATTTTAAAATTCTTCGGAGCCATGGGACGCCGCAGGCCGACAGCATCACTGCGGGTTATTAAGCAGCGTCTGGGCCCGAGGGGGAGGCGACCATTTTCTCTGAGAAATGTCAAATCCAAGATGTAAGATTTCCTTTTTTTTGTATAATTAGGAGAAAATGTTTTATATAAGCTCAAAAAAGGTTTTTCTTATATTCTTGTAGATGATGCCGTCTTGTGAATATTTGGCTTTGCATGTTGTTCTCTGTTGACCCATTTTACATAGATACTTTGAAAGACCAGTTAACAGAGTGGAAAAAGGTGGTCGACACAGTGGCGTGGAGTTTGCATGTTCTCCCTGTGTCTGATTAGCTTTCCCATCAATCAACGTTAATACTTTCCTACACAAGGTCCATATCACATCAGACATAAATCATAAACATCCAAATCTACATGAACATTGAAAAAAAATACTATTTCAAATTATGATATTTAATAACAAGCACACAAGAAATATTAAAAACATTGAAAACAAAATCATAAATAGCCACAGTGCATTCGAAAGAGTAAAGATAAAATCCAGAAACTATGGGTGCTCCGGTTTACCCTACCACTAAACCTAGGATAATGGGACTACGGATGACAATAGCCATGAGCTAATTAAAGTTAAATGAAAACAATGGGATTCTTGAATATCTCTGTGGTTTGTTTATCAAGTACGTCTGCGATCATTCAGAAATATTATACAACTGCGCACATTATCTGTCTGTGAAGGAGATGTTTAGCAGTCTAAATGTGGAAGTGCTGACGTCACCGATATCGTCTAATAGCCCTCGGAGGAAGCTCGAGATGGCTCGCTGTCGCCGAGATCATTTTACAGTCTCCATATTGGAAATGTCAAGTCTTTGTTATTGATTTCCCAAAGACAATATTGAAGTAACACCAGAATAATGTAGAGGACTAAAACCTGGACATTTGAAGCTCTGAAAATGGGAAGAAGAGCAGCAGTGACGGGAAAAAGTATGGATTATGGATTTTAACCAGTAGTCGCTACTCAAAAAAATGATTTTTGGGTGTAGTAATATATACTAACTCAAAAGTAGTAGTTTCTACCTATAATATCAACTTTCAGCAAAAACTAGTTAAAAACATAAATATTTACACAGTATATTCAGGTAATTAATTAATTGAGTGGAAAGAGTACATCTTACTAGAGATTTGCTCATACTATTTACATGATTTATTGTCATAGCACCAAAACCTGAAAAAATCAAGTAACTTTTAACTATTGGGTGAAGTAGTGACGCTACCCAGAATGCAAGGCAGAGAAAAACATAAACTTCTGAAAAAATCTACATTTGAGCATTAATTTTGAGGGTGAATACAAAGCAAGTCTTAAAACAAAATACGTGAGCAACATTTTGAACAAACAAATTTGACCAAATTAAAAAGTTTAAATATATTTTTACCAACCATGATCGACATGGCCAAGTCAAAGTATGGCTTTACTTCCTGGGTTTGTCACTACATCAAATGTGTATTGTATGTGTGCCACAGAGTCTGTACACTGTACCACTTGTCGCTGAGCTCTATTTGAATAATAAATATTATGACATCCTAATGATACAATTAAAGTGGAACAACCCAAAAAGCATGTAGATAATAATAATTTAAACAGAAAAATTAAGTAATATCTACTTATTCACTTCATAACAGAAAATGATATAAACAAGTAAGATTTACCTAATATTTTAATATCTGATATTCCTGTATGAAAATAATTGCATAACATTTACTTAATATCCTCACAAAGTTTAAGGTTAGTAGTAAGTACATTGTACTTGATACTGGCAAGTAAGTTATACTTGATATTACAGCATTAAAATGTACTTAGAAATTTTGAGTGCAAATACTTACAATGATTTTATTAAGTAAATTCTACAAGTCATTTCTTTGAGTATATGCACATTATATATATCCCTATTTTGTACACAGCGACAGGAAACTTAAGTCCTATACTCTAAAAGTGTGAATTTTGAATCAACCAATCATTTTCCAAGAAAAGTAGCTAGGCTTTGAAATTAGTATAATAATAATAATAATCTGTATTTTTTTATTTTCTGTGTATGTTTACATGTTTTTAATTTTTTAGGACCCCCTTTCCTTGAATAAACTTAAACTTAAACTAATCGTCATCAAAAATCAAAGTTAAAAACGTCCTGTACAATTACTTTTAGTTGTTTAAGTGCTTCCAGACATACAACAGCCAAACTTCTAAATCATAACCAAACTTTTCAAACCGCCGCACAAAAGCTAATTGTTCTGAAGCAGATCCGGCTCTCTGCCTGCGTCTGGAGGGCACGCCAAAGTCAATCCCAGGCCACTTCTGCGGTGGGTCAACATACATGTGAAAGTCTCAAACATTGTGCAGGACTCTTGTGATAGCCGGCAGAGGTTAATTGGGTGATCGGACGTCCTTCCCCTCCCCTGTTCTGCCTGGGTGCACTTCAAATAAACACGCAAACGCAGCCTCCGTAATGTAATTAATGCTGTATCCATCTGGTATTAAGGAAATGCCACTCAGCAGCAATGGCGCGTGACGCTGGTTTGGAGAATGGATGGCTGGGTAAATACATAGAGCCAACATTGTGAGGCGAAGAGGATGAGTTTAGCATGGTTGACTTGCTCAGATAGGCCAAGTGCTAAAATTACAAGCGCACTTCGGCTAAATGGCATTGTGAAAAGCCTGAAGGTTACGGACGGCTGGATTGTGAGCTCAATTTCTTCTGAGCGGTCTTGAAAATATGACTCTGTGTTAGGCATGAAGTTATGAATGAACCCAAAACACTCCTGCAAGGAAGAAAAAAAGAAAGGGCAGCACGACTCATGAGATCAACCAAAGACACAAGGAATCCTCAAATCAGCGATATCTGACCACTGCACAAGAGAAAATCATAAAATGGGTTAGATAAGATAGACTTTATTGATCTCACACTGGAGAAATGTACAATGCAAAATGGGACAATGCAAAAATAGTATGAAAAAACATTAGATGAATACGAGAAGCGATTGAAATCAGGAAGAGGAGTGCACGGACCATCAACGGAGACGAGGGGGCCTTCACCTTGGCTCACACATGGACCACTGCGCGACAGGGGGCGTGGACTCCTCCCGTAAACATCTGGCCTACACAACGCCTAAAACATGTCAGATAATTTATTGTTACTAGATTCTTTAGACTCTTGCCTTATTTAAATAAACTTTTAAGCCTCAAACATAAACAAGACATAATG